TCTTCCATGAGGCCAGAGAGAGTAGCCTTGTCTTTTGTGCCTGGCCTGCAGATGCCCACCCTCCATGCTGGCTCTTCAGCAAAGTGGAAGGCGCCCTTGGCATCGCATCTCTGGCTTGGTGGCATTTTGTCGTTTCCATGGATGTGGTGACAGATCTTTGTGTTGCTTTGCTTCACAGGCTGCCTAACAAGATTGCCAGGGATCTGTAGGGTAGGGGGAGGCGATGGTGATGGTGGGGGGAAAGACACCCTTGAAAGGCCATTGGAGCACTGCGACTCCCAGTTTCGCCTTGCAGGATCCCACCAAACACTCTGGGCTGGTATCGCCAGGAGGCTGGCACAGACTGAGAGTGCATCCACATTGCAGAACTGAAGCAGTTTGGACACCGCTTGAAGTGGCGTGACTACAGAACCCTGGGATTTGTAGTTTGGGGCTCGCTGACAAACCAGGGGGAAGACCTCACCAAACTGCACATCCCAGGATGCTGTAGGATAGGGTCACAAAGTGGTGTCAAACTGCTTTAATTCTGCAGTGTGGACACACACACACACCCAGCTGCAAACCAGGCAAGGCTTAGTTGGATCCTTATCTCCGCTGTGAACTTACTAGGAGGTTATCAGTTTGAAGTTGTGTAAATTACACAGAGCTTGTGTTAAGTCGAAGCACAGATATGCGATCATGTAAAGGACGTATAGAAAATAATGGAATATTTTCACCAACTGGGGGCTGGGAAGTCAGTAGTATAGGCATTGTTTTTGTCATTTAGTAGTGCTTCTAGCTTTGTTCTCACTTGTGAATTTTAGATATACAGATAAAATATGAGTGTGATTGCTGCTTTTATGTGTAATACCAATTCTTTTTGGAAAACCTTACCAGTAGGTCTTAGGCAAGCTGATCATTCTGAGCCTCAGTTCAATACATTTACACTGCCAGAGCTATGGGGACAATACTGACGTCCGCACTGCATAGTTAGAGCACTTTGATTCCACCGCAAGTGCCACGGCTCTATCTTGTACAATCCTGGGATTTGCAGTCTGGTGGGGGACTTTGGTTTCTGTAACGCTCTCCCTTGAACTACAGCATTAGGGCCCTCGGGTGAAGAATTTGACACTACAGATCCCAGGATTCCAGGGGATGAAGCCGGGGCAAAGTGGTATGAAACTGATCTAACTGTGTAATGTGGATGCACCCTAAAGGTATGTGCTGAAGTGTATGTGGTATGTCACCTTGACTCCCTGTACTAGAAGGAAGGCAAGATATTAATAATAATAAATAATAATAATAATAAATGTCTACACTACATAATTGTATCATTTTATACTTATACTTTATATAGAAGAAGTTGACAACTTGTGACCATCCCGATGTTGCTGTACTGCAGTTCCCATCGGTCTTTGCCAGGAGGGCCAATGGTGCAGGATGATGGGAATGGCAGTACAGCACCACTCGAAGAGCTCCAAGTCACCCACTCTTTCTCTACAAGCTTGCTTACAAAACTAACCCGCCGGAATGAACATGTGCAACTGCTATAGAAATACCTGCTGTTGTTGTTCTCCAAAGACCCTTCTGTTTTGGAACGGCGAACTGGCATTGCCAGGCATGCCCTAAGTGAGATCAAGAGGCTGAATCAAGTTACTATGATTCGCGATTGAGTTACAATTCAGCCTGATATTAATCTATAAATAATAGAGAGGGAGTTTTTCGCTGGCTGTCTTTGTGGGGCGACATCATAATGATATGTTGTCCCAAGAAGCCAGCCAGCGGAGACTCAGCTGCACATGTGCGCAAAATCCCATTTTCTTCCCACTTTGCATCCATGGCCTCCGAGTGACTCCGAACCGAAACACTGATCCACACGGGCGGAACCCCACAAAGATGGGGAAACATAGAGGCGACGATGGAATTACTTTTAGACAGGCTGACCTGGGCGTCACCTCCTTGAATTTAGTGGGACTTTTCATGTCTGAATATGCACGCATAGGCTGCCACCCCATTGTTACAAAGAGGAGAGAGACCTGTTGAATCAATGGGAGCTGGAGAATAAACCAAGACTCGTGCAAATGCCATTGATTCAATGGGTCTACGTTAGTTGGGACTGAGAACTAGATTTGCGCCCCTGTGGATGAATCACATCTGGGGGCTGAGTCCTTGCTCAGCCAAAGAAACCCCCTGGGTGAGCTTGAGCAAGTCACACTCTCTCAGCCTCAGAGGATGGCAAAGGCAGACCCCCCTTCTGAACACATCTTGCCAAGAAAACTCCATGATAGGCTTGCTTTGGGTAGCCATAAGTCAGAAATGACTTGAAGGCACCCAACAACAAAGTACCAAGAAGAATGCCAGCCATTCACTCCCGATATATCTCTATCTATCTATCTATCTATCTATCTATCTATCTATCTATTTGATTTGATTTGATCAGTTACTCAAGCTGGGTTCTGTCAGACATTCCTTTCAACAGAGGTATGATCGATACTTTCCTGGGACTAGGATGCAAATCTCACACACACACACACACACACACGCAAAACATAATGTAATGTATAACATGCTTTTATTTGTCAGGCCCCACTTATACAAAGGCAGATTTGGCAGGCATGGACAAATTGCCTGGTTTGGTTAAAGGATGATCGGTAGTGACAGTTCTTAAAGACTGGAAACCCTTGATAGACTTTTTGTTAAAAAAAAGAAAGAACGAGAGAACATGATTTGGTGACTTTTGGTTTTGATGATTCAAAAGAACAAGCCTTTGAAAGAAGTTAATATGCTGTAATTTGTTAGAGAGAGAGAGAGGTCTATCTATCTATCTATCTATCTATCTATCTATCTATCTATCTATCATCTATCTTGTTGTTCTTGTTGTTGTGTGCCTTCAAGTAGTTTCTGACTTACGGAGACCCGCCTAAGGCAACCCTATCATGGGGTTTTCTTGACAAGATTTGTTTAGAGGAGATTTTCCATTGCCTGCCCCTGAGGCTGAGAGAGTGTGACTTGCCCAAGGTCACCCCATGGGTTTCCATGGCCGAGCCAGCACTCAAACCCTGGACTCCCAGGGTCCTAGTCCATTACACTACACTGACCGTCAACAATCTATCTATCATCTATCTATCTATCTATCTATTCATCCATCCATCAATGAAGTTACTGAAAGGAAGATTGGAAGTCACATCT